AAGTAAATGTCACAAACATTTACATACAACAAGAAATGTTAAAGCATGAAAGCTTTTGTTGAACAAAACACAAAGTACACGAGAAAAGCACAAAAGGCACAAAGAAATTAACACAAATAGTACAAAATATACAGCAAACAGGTCAAAGCTCCGGTATATTCTGTATACAAGAACGCGCATTTGATATGATCGGGGACTTGGATTTCCACTTTGAAAGTGACAAGTTCGCTGGCTTATTCAACCTACTAGTTCTTTAACCAGTAGTATAGACTTGTCCCATTCGGTAAAATTATTAAACTATTATCATTTTTATTTTGCTTTAAACTGGCTCATTCAGTAAAATTATTATATTTTTTAGCACAGGGCATCCGTCGTTCACGAAAAGAGAAGAGAAACCCAGGGCGCCACGCGGTCCTTCCAGGAATTTTCTCAACACATAAACCAAAGCCAACCTCAGAAGCATCGTTATCTTCAGAAGACATAAGTTTACCTCTATAATATAATCAGCCCGCGCCTGATAATATATAACAATATATAATAATATATATTAATTTCTTCGATCTTTGTTAAAAATATTTTCTTTAAATTATTTAAATATTTATTTTTTTTTATATACACATATTATATGAATTATAAATGTATTTTGTTTAATAGATATTTTTTTTTTTGGAGTAAATAAAGAATTTAATAAAATATTACAAAACTGTGTTTCTTTTTCCTATCAATCAAATTTCTGTCTCAGAGAATATAAATTTTATTGTTACGACCCTGGACGACGGCTGAGGATACCCCAACAAAAATTATATTTTTGAACGTCACCCCAAAAGTGTCGTTACACAGATTAACAGGGATTTGTTTTATTTTTTCATTGGCTAGTAAAAATTACTGAGAATATGGACCAAAAAACATACTTGACGTTGTTGAAGGAAATATCACAAAACAAGGCGCTGAGAAAACTCAAGACCACATGGTATGTAGAGTCAGAAATTAAAGCAATTACTGCTGCTATGATTAATGCATTCGAAAATTCTTGTCCCCAAATCAGCATTACAGAAAAGTCTCCAAAACCCTGGTAAGTTTCAAATATGATGATCACTAGCCTTCTCCCAAAAAGGGAATCAACAGTTAGGAAAGATTTGATGCAGGAAGGATAGTGACCACAAATGCAGTTAGGAATGCCATATTGACATTCGCTTCATTTAAGTCACCGGGATTGGATGGCATAATTCCAGCACTCCTGCGATGGGGAATTCACCTGCTCGCAGTTAGGCTCACGGAGATATTCAAGACGTCACTGGTAGCAGTGGTTAGTCTCTAAGGCTTGGAGAAAGTCAAGCGTGACTTTTCTACCCAAGTTAGGAAGGAAGGATTACATAGAAGCAAGGTCATTCAGGCCACTTAGACTTATCTCTTTTATGCTTAAAGCTATGGAAAGGTAATAGTGGACCTTCTAGAAGGCACCACGCTACTGAAATATCCTTTAAGCAGATGTCAACTAGCCTATAGGGCGGAGAGATCCACAGAGCTTGCCCTATACAAGGTCTTAAGGACAGCTGAGAAAAAGCTGGATGATGGATTAGCTCATCGAGAGTTAACAGACTTTCTTATTATTGGTTGGATTGTTTTCATGCTAAGGCAAATAGTAATAAACCTACAAAATGGAAGACATAGACTGAGAGGCAGAGCAAACAGAGGCTTCCCACACGAGACGTGTTCTCACCATTCCTATGGAACGTGACCTACTCTCTACTTCAACAGCTTGACTTCAAAGGCATTTAAGGACAATATATCACTGATGGTGAACGGCAAATTTCTAGGCACCATTAGAAATGTAATAAGAAGTACACTCAAATGCGTCGAACAATGGTATAGGGAGCAAGGCCTGACCATCAACGCGACGACTTGGAATGAACATATGAATGAATAGATCAGACAAGCGAAGAGAGCTGTTGATTGTAGCAGGGTCATGCCTGTGATCAAATCGTATTCTGGAGTTTTTTTACTTTTAACTTTGTTATTGAAATGGGATGGTGATATAGGTATATAAACATGTATCGATTTACAATCGAAATTTTGAATTGTAGAATAGTTAAACTACCCAAACTTTTTGAAATCGAAATTTATTATCTACTAAAAATATCTTATACAATGGAAATCTCTGCAATAATACATATTAATTAATATATTACACTACTACACTTGTAAGTGTTTACCTCCAAGAATAACTCATAAAGTTACAGAGAGTTTAGGAAATTTCCATGAGAAAGTAAGCACAGTAGACGAAGAAAGACTACAATTAAAGTTCTGGAGATTTGATTTTTGAAACCTATAATTAAGAATATGCAAAAAAAAGAGGAAGATCTCATTATGACAATGCACCTATGAATATATAATAGTGAAATTCACTTCCTTAAACATATATTTAGGTTCTGATGAAATAGGTAGTAATGTATAAAATTGCTACTAAAATAAATTCATCTTTTAACTGCGAAACTATAACCAAATTACTTTCCTCAACTTTATTTTTTTTAATAGCAAAAAATATAAATAAAGTGCTCACTAATAAATAATAGTTATTTATTAAACAGAAGAAAGTTCCACGCAATCTAGAGTTCACATAAGAAAAAGTTAATGGTTTCGAGCGACCATTAATTTTAGATACTTAAGAAACTTTAACTGGTTTGTACTACATCGTTCCAATAACTAAAAAATTGATAAAAATATATATTCGTGAGTAGATAAGTGAACTAGGAAATATATCTTACTTCTAGTAAATCAATCACATTATAAGTAACAACTAAAATATTTTTAAATAAGATTAAAATTAATTAATCTGAATCTCAATATATGTGACATATATGATAAGATAAATTGATTTTGTGTGTGTTTTCAACCACTGTTGGCATGCCTAAGTCACGGTGGAGATCACTGTCTCTGATGTAGAAGGAAACATTTACGATTTATCGTAGGACTTTATTTTGAAAACGCTGGATAGTTGCAATGTATGCATTGCTGGCAGATCTCCACAATTGTATGCCATTCCTTAGTTTTAAGTCAAGCTCTACAGGTTTTTTCTTTGCATTGTCTTTCCACCGTAATTTAGCGTCAAGCGTAATGCCCAGGTATTTACCTTCATTGGCGTGAGGAATTTTTGTATCGATTTCTCAATGAGAAAACTATATGTACAGATTTTCACTAGTTTAGCATGATATGTAATTTTTTTGCCCATGAAGCAATTTGGTTGACTATTCGATTGGGAGAACAGCGGTATCATCAGGTCTGCAAATGTTGCTGTGACTTGATGGTTTGCCGGTGGTAAGTCATATGAATACAGGAGCTATAGTATGGGCCCAAGAATGCACCCCTGCGAGACGCCTGCGTTTACCTTTTTTAGAGATGAATGGGTATCCTTGTATTTAACACTAAAGTACCTATCTTTAAGATACGATGAAAGTAGCTTACAGTGTTGTATAGGCAATTATGACTTAAGTTTTTGTAGTAATCCTGCATGCTACACCTTATCGAAGGCTTACGATATATATAAGAAGATGGCACAGCACACTTTCTTCTCTTGCATCGCAGATTTAATGACATTTAAAATTAAGTGTATTTGTTCGATTGTTGAGTGGTTCTTTCAGAAATCAAATTGATGAGCGGTAATTAAGACTCTCCTCTCGACTATTGGTAATTAACCTGCTAACAGTAGTTTTTCAAGAAGCTGCGATAATAAAGTAATAAAGTTGGTAATAAAGATATTGGTCCGTATGAGGGTAAGTCGTTAGTAGTATGGATACGGGGTTTCAGGTCCAAAGAAAAAATGTATAAAGAAAATGCGACTTTATGGTGTAAAGTAATAATATATATGGCTGCTATCTGAGTGTTGTCTGAGGTTTTTTCTTGTTTAACTGAGACTCAAAAGAATTAAAAGCCTACAACAGTGTCAAACTTTAATCCACTAAAACGTGTCCTCATGTCCGGACGGAAAGTCCCTTCTGGAACTATCGTGAAATATTGCATCAGAAGGTGTCCTGAGCAACAGCGTTGGGACGCCTTCTCCCACTCACTAAGTCCTCTGTGGGGTTCCAGCAACAACTATTAGTGAACTACTGTAATCTTCATAGATTAAAAGAAGTTGTGCTAAATTTATGTAAACTTTATTCTTTATGTAAATGTACATATAATAGGTATATTGCATATTCAAATTATTTACCTAAATCGAAAACGGGGTTTCATACAATTATTTACAACGAATGTAAGCACCTATCATTAATGCAAAACATTTACAGTTTCAACTATCAATTCAGTGGTTTCGAATTGCTGAAAACGTCAACTATTTTGACATATCTGAGGATGACTATGAAGACGAGATGGAGCTAATCAGAAGAACAAGTATTTGGATGCAGAAATTTTGAAGAACAATTTAATTCTTTAATGGAGGAAATATATAGTAATGATGACGATCACACTAATGATAATTATGAACAAATGATCTGCAATATCGTTATTGATATGAGATATCAACCTCCTCTTTCTAACCGCACATCAAAACGAATACGAGTGTGATAATAAATTAATGAATATATACATATATACATATTAACAAAAATATATTAAAAAAATTTTAAATACTGTTTTTTATTTTATTTAAAGACGAATATAATATAAAAGAAAACAATTTGGATTTCTATTTACATCATTTGTTATAAAAGTCTCAACTTTATCATCATAAATTTCAATAATACCATAAATTTTAGCAATATAAATCAAATCATAATATATATTTAGAAAAATAATTACTTCTTCTTCAGCAATTAAATTTAATAGAAGGACATGTTTGACGACTTAAGCCCACTAATAATCAAAAACTTATTAAAGAAATTGTAATTTTTGAGAATACATAAAAAAAATGTTGTCCTAGTGCACTTATGGATATCAATAAAAATAAATACATGTTAAATCAATCAAAATAATCCAGATATTATGTCTTGGATTATTGGACATCAACAAGCGAATGGCTGTAATAAGATATATATTAATTAACAGAATAAGAGAATATGCTATAGTGTTATTACATCACGACCGTTGCAGTTTGGATCTGTGGAATTTGAAAAGGTGATTTTCGTGCACATCTAAGAAGAAATCCACGTGGTGACATACGCGACATTCAAAATATATCTCGTCTCTAAAACCAAGTCGTTTTGTCAGATGAGTATCTGTGTCAGAGTTCTGCGGAAAGGTGAACATTGTGTCGTCAGCAATCAGATGGTTCTTACGTATATGTTCAACAAGATTCGACTTAAAAAAATGTTTTATTCCGCACAGAGGACAATCAGTTTCATTCATTACAAACTTTTTCTTGCAATTACCTCGCACCTACAATATTTTACAAATAAATTGAAATGAACACATATTTTATGGCGCTTACCGGCTTAAATATGTTTTCGTTCAGGTCTGCAATTGACTCCAAGTCATCATCGCTTGTTGTGCTTGAATCCTGAATCGAAAAACTGTTCGACAAATCTTTATCACTTGAATCCTCAGGATAGCTCCTTCTATTTACATCTGTACTTGTATGATCGCTTGTTTCTGTGCATTTCTAGAGTTATATTATTATATATAAATAAATCAATATAAATGAGAATACATAATTTATGGCACTTACTGGTTTAAATATGTTTTCGTTCAGGTCTGCAATTGACTCCAAGTCAACATCACTCATTGTGCTTGGATCCTGAATCGAACAACTGTTTGTCATAATTTTATCAGAGTCTTCAGGATAGCTCCTTCTATTTACATCTGCACTTGTATGATCGCTTGTTTCTGTACATTTCTAGAGTCATATTATTATATATTAATAAATCAATATAAATGAGAATACATAATTTATGGCGCTTACTGGTTTAAATATGTTTTCGTTCAGGTCTGCAATTGACTCCAACTCATCATCGCTTGTTGTGCTTGAATCCTGAATCGAAAAACTGTTTGTCATAATTTTATCAGAGTCCTCAGGATAGCTCCTTCTATTTACATCTGCACTGGTATGATCGCTTGTTTCTGTGCATTTCTAGAGTTGTATTATTATATATATATAAGTGAATATAAATGAGAATACATAATTTATGGCGCTTACTGGTTTAAATATGTTTTCGTTCAGGTCTGCAATTAAATCCAAGTCAACATCACTCATTGTGCTTGGATTGTGAATCGAACAACTGTTTGTCATAATTTTATCAGAGTCTTCAGGATAGCTCCTTCTATTTACATCTGCACTGGTATGATCGCTTGTTTCTGTGCATTTCTAGAGTTATATTATTATATATAAATAAATTAATATAAATGAGAATACATAATTTATGGCGCTTACTGGTTTAAATATGTTTTCGTTCAGGTCTGCAATTGACTCCAAGTTATCATCGCTTGTTGTGCTTGAATCCTGAATCGAAAAACTGTTTGTCATAATTTTATCAGAATCCTCAGGATAGCTCCTTCTATTTACATCTGCACTGGTATGATCGCTTGTTTCTTTGCATTTCTAGAGTTGTATTATTATATATATATAAGTGAATATAAATGAGAATACATAATTTATGGCGCTTACTGGTTTAAATATGTTTTCGTTCAGGTCTGCAATTAAATCCAAGTCAACATCACTTATTGTGCTTGTATCCTGAATCGAACAACTGTTTGTCATAATTTTATCAGAGTCCTCAGGATTGCTCCTTCTACTTACATCTGTACTTGTATGATCGCTTGTTTCTGTGCATTTCTAGAGTTATATTATTATATATAAATGAATCAATATAAATGAGAATACATAATTTATGGCACTTACTGGTTTAAATATGTTTTCGTTCAGGTCTGCAATTGACTCCAAGTCATCATCGCTTGTTGTGCTTGAATCCTGAAACGAAAAACTGTTCGACAAATCTGTATCATTTGAATCCTCAGGATAGCTTCTTCTATTTACATCAGCACTTGTATCATCGGTTGTTTCTGTGCATTTCTAGAGTTATATTTTTATATATAAATAAATCAATATAAATGAGAACACATAATTTATGGCACTTACTGGTTTAAATATGTTTTCGTTCAGGTCTGCAATTAAATCCAAGTCAACACCACTTATTGTGCTTGGATCCTGAATCGAACAACTGTTTGTCATAATTTTATCAGAGTCCTCAGGATTGCTCCTTCTACTTACATCTGCACTGGTATGATCGATTGTTTCTGTGCATTTCTAGAGTTATATTATTATATATATATAAGTGAATATAAATAATATTGTATATAAAAATATTTAGTTTTCGGTGTTTACCTTTTTCAACGATCTTTCAATTAAGTTCAGTTTATCTTTGAAATTTGTATCCATTGTCCTTTTTGGAGGATTTAATATTCTTCTATTAAGTCTGATTTTTTGCACCTATATTTGTTTTTTTGTTGTATTAATAAATTGCTCGTACAGTAGGTTTGAAATACTAACCCGACCAGTTGGAACGGAATTGCCATTGGGATTAAGTAATTGCCACACTTTCGAAATTGATTCTACAACACTTCTACAGCGTTCTGGTATAGAGTTTTCGACTTTGTCAGTCGGTGTGGAATTTAATAAATGATGCTGGAATTGTGTTATTATATTTGAGTAGGTCAATTTAAGAATTTTTGCTTTAAAAATGAATGTAGGACAAAATAAAATTACCACTTCAAACATGCTTTCATTAGTATCCGCTAATATTTCTGTAGCAATATCCCCTTTCCTGTTTGGTTGACCTACATCACTTTCTTCCTCATTATTGGATAAATATTGAGGCCCAATGTTGAGTTTGTTTTTTTCAACCTAATTTTTATTTGAATTTTAAATATGGTATATTCTTTTACTGTTTTGAGGTACTTACTTGATCAGTTGGAGTAGGTGGGCACATAGTAAGATCAATAAAGGGCATCTCTGATTTATGCAATTCTACAATGTCATAGCATTTTGGGGTTGGATTCCAAAGCGTACCCTTCAGCGTTGAATTTGACCAATGTTTCTAAAATTATTGTAGCATAAATCAGAGAATGTGAATTTTGAAAAACTGATCATTTTGGGATACAATTTGAATTTTGTTAAAGTCATTTTAAATTTTAATATTAAATTGTATTTTTATAATAGAAAGAAAATAAGATGTCGACTAAAATGCGTGTGAAAAGGAAGACAAGTGTTGAAGTGATGAAGCTGTTATCGATCTTCATGTAATATGATATACACTTAGCAGAAAAACTCTGCGTACAAAAAGTAAATTTTGTTTCAACATATAAAAAATGATTATATAAATAAATTTTTTAAATCAATTTTATTTTTTGTTTGTACTTTAATTAGTTGACTTTATTTTAAGCTAAAACTTATTTCTAACACATTAGTAGAAAAATTATAATAATTAAAAATGTAAAAAATCAGCGCTATCAGTGGCAGAAAAAGTCTGCGTACAAAACATATAAAGGGGAATTCCCGAAGTTTTAATAGTAGAACTTTGGCGTGCTTTATGTTTTACTGTACCAGTATATCATTATACACAATCCCACGCACTTATTTTATAATTTAATGATTAAAAAGTAATTAACTTTTTAATGACAAATAAAGGAAAAGAAATTATTATCAGTGAAAGCAGTATTATTATTGATTTATGGAAAAAAAGGAAAATGTATCCCAAAATTGATCAAATCGTTAAGCGGTCACATTATTTTATCCAAAGAGTAGTGAACAACTACAACTAAATAGGATTATTGACCTAGAAGTTGGGATCTGGGCGTCCATCCAAGCTGTCAACAAGAGAAACCCGCAGCATTATTAATTCAGTGAAAGATAATCCTCGTCTAACTGGACTTCTGTTATAGAAATATATTGACCAGACATTCCAGAAGCAAATTCACGTGGATACTGTACACAAAATATTAAAAAAATACCACTACCATGGCCGGTTTGTACGAAGCAAGCCGCTTATCTCCAAAGCTATTAGAATGAAGCGTTTAGCATTCGAAAGGGAGTATTTAAATAAGTCTCCAGAATTTTGGAAACGCATAATTTTTTCAGACGAAAGCAAATTTTGCCTCTTTAGCATTAAAGGTCGAACGATTATATGGCGAATTCCGGGTACTGCCTTTAATAATGAAGATTTGTATTCAACAATAAAACACGGTAGTGGAGGAGTAATAGTGCGGGGGTGTATGGCGAGTAATAGAGTGAGAAAAATGGAATACATTGAGTCGATAATGAGTAAAGATGATCTCCTTAGAAAGCTTGAATATTATTTCCTTTATAGGAACTAGTAATGATTTTTCCAACGACATAATAAGAAAAATTTTTGCTGCATGTCTCAAGAACACAATAAGTGCATTTTTTTTGTTGGCTTTACTAATCCAAATGAGTTTAAATTTATATGTTATAACGTAAGGCAAAATCAATATATACTATTCCGTAGTTAGGATTGTTTTCAACAAATAGTATATACAAATATAAAACATATATAAAACAAATAAACCATCGTCAGTTTAAAAATATTGCATATAAGTGCGCCCTTGTTCCCTTGTTAAAATATTGTGTTCAAAGAATCCAATTTTAAAAATTATTGCAAGCATGTGCAATAGTTATGATATACATTGTCTATATTTGCCCCGAACTTTCCAGGAAATCCTTTAGCACATCATCCTCTTTAATACAGAAGCAAAACTGATTTCAATATGTTAAAAAAGAGTTTAATTTTAAGTTGTGATTCTCGTTTGTATTTAGTGAATGAATATTATACTACATAACTCTAATTTACAAAATTGGTGGACAATTCATAGTTATTGTTTCACCAATCTAAGCTCTGATTGAGCTCTCTGGGTTGCACCAGTCAATAGTCTGCTTGTATTTCAGCTCTTTATATTTTGTGGTTGACAGGTATTTTTAAATAAAGAAGTGAAACCATATCAAGATTTACCTCATTTTTCATTTTCCCTTTTTTGTGCCTTACATTATACATTTATTACTAAACAAAACTAAATTAACCAACGTGACGTTACCATGACTGTCTGCTTAACATGGTGCGTAAGGAATCGCATGAGTTATATTCGTATAAATTATGTTACTCATGTGATTTCATTTTTTCATTTTTTATTTGTATTCATGTAAAAAATACCTAATGCCTAGTATTTCGTAAACAAAATAGGTGTTCATGCTTTTGTAACTAAGTTACGGTGATCTGTGATCACCATAACGATCAACTGTATCTACTTTTCATGATTTTGTAATGAGAAGAAAGTGCATTTCAACAACTTAACATAATTAAGTTGTACTAGCTGATGTTGGATTACGAAATAATGACAAACAAAGAGTTAAAATAAAACTAAACTCCGAGTTTTTCTATTTAACAAACCTCAAAAGAGAAACCAGTCTACCTCAGCAAATAGAGTAAGCATCAAGAACGTATAGTTACCAGTTGTAAAAAGATCCTAAACATCTTACGGGTGTAAGATATAAATATAGAAAGTACATAATTTTATTAAAAATAAAGTAAAACAAATATATTGAATTTGTTTAATTGATAATGTACCTTGCTAATACTGTTAAACTTGTACGGACGAGACTAAATAGTACCGCATCACTATTCTGATAATTATTGAGCTGTTCGATGAAACAACAGCTGAGCTGCAGTGGGAAATATTTTAAAAAATTTAAATTAAACACTAAATTCAAAGTATTTCAAAGGAGTCAATGATAAAGTAATAGAAACAAGTCTTAAATTAGTATATAGATTAGTTTTTAACATGTATTCTACCATTGTTTGCTTTGGTTTACTAAAAAGTGAAATGTGAAATGTCGTATTTGAGTAAACGTATAAACTTTTTTATAAACTGGAAAAGTTTTTGTAACTTTCATCGACTACTATCAACACTCGGGATAGTGCTATAACATAATTACAAAACTATCAGTACCGCTCTAATACGCACATTAATACTAATTTACTTACATCTGCCACAGCTGCGTTATTTCCTTTAGTTTCAACATGAGTTGTCTCGGACAATAAACCAGCGAATTTCCTCTTTCTGACAAATCTACTATTATTATTATTTTCCACCTCTCTCCCAGGAATTGATTCACCATTAGTCCGAAATTGATCACCATTCCAAATTTCAGGCAAACGTTGGTGTTTTTTAGCCCAATAGCGTTGCTTTTGTGACTTTTTCCTTTTACTCTTTTTGCCCACTGCTGATAAACGCACCTGCGCCGAATTATTCTTATTTTCCATACTTTCCCAAAATAACTGGTGTCAGATAGGCTTGAACTCAGCAAGAAGTTAGATAATAGCTTCTATATTGTTAAGATGTGAAATTATATTTGATATATCAGTGTTGACTGCAAGAAGTTGCAAAGCAAAAGAAATTGCCGTGACTCTTTCTATGCAACAGTTTTAAACTCACTGAAGTGATAATCAGCTGCTTCATAAAGGTAAGCTGATTGCTTAAATCTGTTCCAGTATTTTTGAACTTAAAAACATGTTAAGCATGTTATTATGTGTTAAGATGTAAAATTATTTTTGATATATCAGTATTGTATCAGTATTGACTGAAAGAAGTTGGAAAGCAAAAGAAAATACAGTAGTATTTGTGTGTTAGGTGTGACTTTTCCCAGCAGTTTTTTAGGAGACATTTGTCGCTAGGCATTAGTAACGTACACGAAGTAGTCCAAAGGAACTAGTGAAATGGGGTGTGTGGTTCGTGGGGATGTGTTAAGTCGCTAATTAGAATATATAAATTTTTTAATACTTTTTTTGTATAAAATTTAATAGCGCATTTTATTATTTTTGAACGAAGAGAATACCAAACAAATGAGAAACAAAGAAATTCAACCACATATAACTATTTTGGAACACTATCACATATTCCGATCCCTGGTAATGCAATGATTCACCAGTTGAAACAAAAGTCCACTGCTTATACTTGTTGTGTATAAACAAATTGAGAGCAATAGGCTTCGTTCTCTTGTTTTTAATAAAATGCCTCCTTCGCAATAGAGCGTTGATTTGCGATAGAGCGAATATGTAAAAACATACAACATTATGCTTAGTGGGACTGTGAACCTATTAAGTTCAGATCAAGTAATGTTAACAGATATTGATTTTATAAGGTCTTACTTACATTGGATAAATATCGCTTTTACTGCTAATTTATTGCAAATAATTTTAAAAATATAATACAAAAATATGTAAAATAATATTATATAATAATATCTAGAATTAAAACACGCTACGATATACATAAGTCATTAAAACACGCTACGATGAATACGAATAAATTAAAGATACGAAATTTAATTAAAGATAAGGTTGCAACATCATCTATAGATCATCAGTTAAGTCCCTAGACAATTTGATTTAACTGCAGCACAATTAGCTAGAAAGTAATTTATTAATATAAAAATATTTAATATGTATATATACACAAATTAAAATAAATATGTATGTAATAATATATAAAATGAACGTTTTATTTATTTTCCACATCAGGAACTAGTGAAAAGACAAGTTCCGCGGTGCATCGTACGGGGACAATTGACACCGGCAATGACAACTCAATATAAAATTCACCAATTGAGCCCACGTAAACTGCATTAACGCCCAGTTAGACGGTAGGTAACGTAAGAAATTAATTGAAAGCGAAATGCATAACCAACCAAACCTGCGTATTTGATAGGAACAAAATAAACAAAAGCGGCGAACTATATAGGCAGGTATATAGGTATATAAATACTCAGGTTAGGTTGGTTGTGCATTTCGCTTTGAATTAATTTTTTGCGTTACCTGCCGTCTAACTGAGCCTCTATGAAGCGACTAGTACTATACAGGGTTGCTGGGTTTTGAAGCACCAGTTTTAAACTCACTAAAAGGGTAAGCAGTTACTTCATAAAGCACGCAATCAATAGATCTTAGTACTTAGTTCTAGTACTTTTTAACTTAAAATCAAGTAATATGTGCTAAGATGTAAAATTATTTTTGATATATCAGTGATGACTGAAAGAAGTTGCAAAGCAAAAGAAAATGCAATTAATATGCCGTAGTAATTGTAAGTTAAGTGTGACTCTTTTTATGCAACAGTTTTGAACTCACTGAAGTGATAATCAGCTGCTTCATAAAGGTAAGCAACAATAGAACTGCTTCAGTACTTTTGAACTTAAAATAAAATAAATTTGAAAACACCAATAAAATCATATATCTTTTTAATAATAGTAGTTCAAATAGAAAGAACGGAACGCTTTTAAGAACAAATTTAGTAGTTTCTATATTTTCCTTCTTACTAGTAATTTCTTTTTTTTGAATAGATTTTTTATAAGTTTCATACTTTTGACCATAAATTTATGTTATTTACAATTCACAGTATGTATACTATATATAATTTATTGTATATATGTTTATGTTTATATTTAGTTAATATTATTTAATAATTTTTTAAAGAGGTTTTTTCGAACAGTAGTGAAATACAACAACAAAAATTTATTTTTTTTTTATATTATTTTAATTAATTGAATTTTTGGCTAACCATACAGCTGTTTCGAGTATTGCCAAATACCCATCATCAGTGGTCTTGGAAATAATTCTTGTATTTAATTATTCGTAAATAATTATTTTTTGAGACTGCAAGTACCAGGAATCGAACTCGGGTCCTGCCAAATGTGAAGCTCAGAATCAGTTTTCATCAGTTTTTCTTGTGGTCAGTGCACTGAAGAAAGTGTCATATTATTATGAATTTGAAATATTAAAAAATTTATTATTTTGTGAATAATGCATTAATATTTTTTGTTAATTAATGCATAATTCAATATTATGCAAATTATTCAGTAAATAATTTTAATTAAGTTCAGAAAGAAAATACAATACAAATCAAACGTAATTTCTTTTTCTCATATCGATTAGTTTGAGTTAGAAGTGCTCAAGTTACTTCACACACAAAATAGGCTACCAAGCTAATACAGATTAAGGATCTGGGTTAGCACCATGTAGCGTACAATCTACATTAACATTATATTACAATTCTACACATATGTTTAGAATATTATATATATTACATCCTAAATAAATAGGGCACTAACTCACTATTTAAAAAGACTGAATTGATGTGGAATACAGGAGTACAATTTGAACACAAGAAGAGTTGGTTCGGGAATTGTATTTACTTATAATTGGCATAGCAATTATATGACGACTAACTGGGCAATTCTGGCAAAGATCGTTGAATGTTTTTCGTACGATCTTAGTAAGATCGACCAGAAGACAGCTTGTAAGATATTAACTACTATGGCACAAAAGTCTTTCAAAAGAAGTTTTATCATTTGCAATTCGTGGTAGAAAGCTATTTTGTTCTATTTATATTGTGGTGAAATCAAAAATATCTGCTAATCGCTACCACAATTTTATTACAAAAGTGATGGAAAGCCGCAAGATGTATGTTCCATTATTATTACTATTTATACATAAATAATTATTTACGGATTTTATCTCATGTCATATAAGAAATGGTTACAGTTATTGATGCATTAGGCATAGCAGTGGCGAATAAAAATTAACTAGTTTTAAAAGAATAATATAAATATATCCAAATAAATAAATAAATATATGAATAAATCAATTTTAAATAAATAATATTAAATATTAATTTTTAAATATATGAAAAATATATGTACTATATTCAAACATATATAAACGTATAAAATATATATCTTGGAATTATTTCAAGCACAATATAATATATCAATGCATTTACGTTTCCGTTGTATAAAATATGAAGTTGCAAATAATTGTTCGAAATAATTGTTTTTCAAATTTCTTTCATTTTACAGTTTTATTCATAACAAACTTTTTCTTGCAATTACCTCGCACCTACAATATCTTACAAATAAATTGAAATGAACACATATTTTATGGCGCTTACCGGCTTAAATATGTTTTCGTTCAGATCTGCAATTGACTCCAAGTCATCAGCGCTTGTTGTGCTTGAATCCTGAATCGAACAACTGTTCGACAAATCTTTATCACTTGAATCCTCAGGATAGCTCCTTCTATTTATATCTGTACTTGTATGATCGCTTGTTTCTGTGCATTTCTAGAGTTGTATTATTATATATATATAAGTGAATATAAATAATATTGTATATAAAAATATTTAGTTTTCGGTGTTTACCTTTTTCAACGATCTTTCAATTAAGTTCAGTTTATCTTTGAAATTTGTATCCATTGTCCTTTTTGGAGGATTTAATATTCTTCTATTAAGTCTGATTTTTTGCACCTATATTTGTTTTTTTGTTGTATTAATAAATTGCTCGTACACTAGGTTTGAAATACTAACCCGACCAGTTGGAACGGAATTGCCATTGGGATTAAGTAATTGCCACACTTTCGAAATTGATTCTACAACACTTCTACAGCGTTCTGGTATAGAGTTTTCGACTTTGTCAGTCGGCGTGGAATTTAATAAATGATGCTAGAATTGTGTTAATATATTTGAGTAGGTCAATTTAAGAATTTTTGCTTTAAAAATGAATGTAGGACAAAATAAAATTACCACTTCAAACATGCTTTCATTAGTATCCGCTAATATTTCTGTAGCAATATCCACTTTCCTGTTTGGTTGACCTACATCACTTTCTTCCTCATTATTGGATAAATATTGAGGCCCAATGTTGAGTTTGTTTTTTTCAACCTAATTTTTATTTGTTATTATTTTAAATATATTCTTTTACTGTTTTGAGGTGCTTACTTGATCAGTTGGAGTAGTTGGGCACATAGTAAGATCAATAAAGGGCATCTCTGATTTATGCAATTCTACAATGTCATAGCATTTTGGGGTTGGATTCCAAATCGTACCCTTCAGCGTTGAATTTGACCAATGTTTCTAAAATTATTGTAGCATAAATCAGAGAATGTGAATTTTGAAAAACTGATCATTTTGGGATACAATTTGAATTTTGTTAAAGTCATTTTAAATTTTAATATTAAATTGTATTTTTATAATAGAAAGAAAATAAGATGTCGACTAAAATGCGTGTGAAAAGGAAGACAAGTGTTGAAGTGATGAAGCTGTTATCGATCTTCATGTAATATGATATACACTTAGCAGAAAAACTCTGCGTACAAAAAGTAAATTTTGTTTCAACATATAAAAAATGATTATATAAATAAATTTTTTAAATCAATTTTATTTTTTGTTTGTACTTTAATTAGTTGACTTTATTTTAAGCTAAAACTTATTTCTAACACATTAGTAGAAAAATTATAATAATTAAAAATGTAAAAAATCAGCGCTATCAGTGGCAGAAAAAGTCTGCGTACAAAACATATAAAGGGGAATTCCCGAAGTTTTAAT